GTTCACTTTGGCCTGGCTACATTCTCACCAGCCACACGGGTTTAAACGCCTCAACATGATCACAATATGGGGGGTACGTGGGGTAGTGCGTATAGCACTGTAAACTAACATTCGATCGCTTTATTACCTTTATACATCCACACAATTAAATATATAACATATAATTTCTACTCCTAAATAAACCTCAACTAATAAAGCATTCCATAAACTCCCCCATTTAAATTCACCGATTTATATCCTAAACCCACAATATCCATTTAGCTCAACAACGCTCAAGACCTATTACCAAGGTCATTCTAACCCTCAAAGAAAGGTAAGACTATCTCGGAAGTCCAACGGTCAATCTAGGGTCAAACGGGCCTACGGGGCCCACAACCTCCAAATTTCGATCTGACAGTTCCTATAGGTTCTACAAGGTCTAGGACACACGTCCTGCAAGTTTGGTCCAGATCGGATGGTCGGATCGCTCACGATCGCACGATCGGACGGTTACTAAAACCCTAACTCTAGGGTTGGCATTTTCGGAGTATCCGGGACTCCATTTTACGATCTGTCAAATCCTACACGATCCCAGTAATACCTAGATCAACATATTATAATTTCAGGACCATCCGACGGTCCAAACCTAGCGAACCCGAAAAATACGCCATATGCGATATCCGTTCGGAACTCTAACGGTATCCAAAATGAAATCCGAGCACACCCATGCGCTCGGGACATCGAGAGGCCCACGCGCCACCACACGCGCCGGCAGCGCGTGGGTGTCTAAAGCGATATCGCATCGCCGGAAAACTTCCAAATCGTGAGCCAAGACTCCTACCCTAGATAATACACCTAATTTGGAGTCACTTTTGTTCTTGGGCATACCCCAAAAATTGACCGGAAGTGGCTGGAATTGCGATCACAAAACCGGCCGAAACCTAAATCGAAAATCGGATGATCTACACTCAAAATTGATGCAATCCTACCCAATCATCAGCTAGATCATGAAAAATAGGGAGGAAACCATACCTCACTTGCCGGAATCGGTGGCCGGACGACGGAGAACGAAGCCGGCGAAGTTTCGGGCTAAATCGGGTTGTTTTCTTCAATTTTCCGGCAAAATCCCGGCGGCTGGCGGTGAGACCCGGCTGGGGTAGGAAGAGGACGGCGGCCCGGTCATTTTGGTACCGGCCCCCTCGACTTTGGTGGCCGGGTGGGGGGGCGGGAGGGGAGCACGGCCGTCCAAAACGTGGCCGGCTGTTCCCGCCGTCGCGAAAACCAGCAGAGAGAGGGAGAGACGCGCGGGAGAGAGAGAGAGAGAGAGTGACGGGGGCAATTCCGTCTTTTAACCAAAAACCCACTTCAAAATATTTACGATTATGCCACTGAGCTTCATTTGACCATATCTCTCTTATTACAACTCCGATTCGAGCCCACTACGTGTCTACGGACTCATCTCACCGTGCTCTACGCAACAGTACAACAGGAATTCCCAAATTCCTTCCGAATAAGAAAATGACTAAAATACCCCTATCCCACTGGTAATTTCTCAATTCCACATAAATAAATTAAAACATGGGACAAATTTGGGGTCGGGGTGTTACACAAAATGTTACAGTACACCCCAAAGTAGTAGTAAGTTGTGCAACAGATAACAAGTTTGGTCCAAAGATTGAACAAGTAATACATAATCTAGATGTAGGGAAGTAGAGAGAGATAGAGAGCCTTCCTCCACCACAGGGGAGGGGGTACCATTAGCATTAGACACCACCGACTGAGTGGATAATTTGCAATTAATAAGTTGGCCAACATCAAATGTCATGTGATCCATAGCGCTCGAGTCGATAATCCATGCGGAGTTTTTGGAGGACGTATGAAAAGTAGAGCCTTTGGTGGTGGTGATAGAATCAGGAGTCCGGGCGTAGCTGGGTCAGCAGGATTGACCGCATGCTTCTGTGAGTCTGCAATAAGATGGATAATCATAGGGGTTCCTAACATCACAACGGAAGTAAGATGTGAGATGAGAAGGTGAGGAATTTGATGTGAGAAATTTGATGTAGGAATTGGATTTAAGAGGTATGTATATAAGATTTAAGGGTATGCGTTTAGGGATTTGGATAAGAGGATTTTAGGACTTTAGATTTGAGGGATTTGGATTTGGGGAAAAATTATGAGGAATTTGATTTAGGGTTTTGGATTTGAATATGAGAAATTTGAGATGAGGGTTTAGAGACAACCGAGGATTGATTGCTCTAATACTATGCTAAAATATGAATTTGGTTTGAATGTATTAGGTTTTTTTTATTCTTCTCCATAAGGAGGTATATATAAGAGTTTACAGGGTGCTTTACAAGGAATTAGATACAGTAAAGAATTAGGAAAGTATCTCCTAATTATACAATGATTTATCAACTATATAAAAATAGGAAAGTAAATCCCTTAATTAATCAAGGAAATAAATCTCCTTGATTAATTAGGAGACTCACGTCAACAAGAAAAGCCTTTTCACTCTTTGCAGGAACATCTTCATATCCAGTTATCCTGGCTGCAATGGTGGCTTCTTTCTTGGTGTTGCATGTACCGTCAACACCGATGTAGGGGTAACTAGCTTCAGTACTAATCCCATGATTTTGTTGGATGAACTGAAAGGCATCGTCCCTCAAGCCACCTTCACAACCTTGGTCTTCTCTACTTGTATCACAATTTACCAACTCTTGCTCAGAAAAAGAGATCAATTTACCAGTGGTAAGCTGAGTAATTCCTTTCGTGCACTATTACAAAAAGGGTAGTAGATGACGGGAATTCACAGTCGTGTGGCAAGTTTTCTAACCGTCGTGAAATCGACCGACATCTTATTAAAAACAAAACCACGACGGTAAAAAGGAGACGTTGTTCATCGAGAAACAACGTCATAATTAATAAAAGCTTATGTAAAAGTAAAGAAAATGACCGCCAAAATAACAAATTGTACACGGTTAGACGACTCAATTTGGGAAATAACCGTTGTCTAAATCATAAAACATGACGTTGTTTAGTAAAATATCGCTCGAAAAAAAAGCCATCCCCGTCATAAACAATTAACTGAACGACGTTTATTAAGACATTCCACGACACATGAAAATATATTACGTCACTTTTGTTTCCAGATATGACGTTGTAAATCATTTACATCATCAGTCTTAACTCAGAAGTTGATGTGTTAAATGATATACACGTCTGTTAGTATACCAGAGACGACGTTATAAAAACATACCACGACACATCTGTTCCCACATTGGACGTTTTTATACATCATTTCATGACACATGGTCACCAAGGAGACGTGAAAACTATTAATGACGTCAGTAAATATGGGAATAAACGGGTTCGTACGACTCCTTTACTTTAAACTCTGAAGGTAAAAATAGATGTACAATGTCGGTTAATGTAAACACCATGTTGTATGTTGTAATACAAACGTCGCATAACCTATCAAAGACGACGTGGTTACTCTATACTACGTCATTTTTGTTTCTAAAGATGACGTTTGTGTACAATATTTCACGACACATGGCCACCAAGGAGATGTGAAAACATTTAATGACGGCAGTAAATATGGGAAGAACGAGGTTTTTATGTCTCCTTTATTTTAAATGTTGAAGGTGAAAATGCACTTACAACGTCGGTTATAGTAAACAGTGTGTCGTATGTCGTCATATAAACGTCGCTTGTCATCATATAAACGTCGCTAAGCATATAAAAGGCGACGTGGTTACTTTGTACTACGTCATTTTATTTCTAAAGACGACGTTATTCAATTATTCACCAAGTCCGTTAAGACATAAATTGACGTGGTATATTATTAAGACGTTTCTTAATAAGAGTGTATCGTTGTGTTTGTTAAGTAAGTAGAAGGTATATATGTTATGGGGTCGTGTTATCCTCTTTTAAATGTCGGTTCTTTGGGCCTTTTCGTCATGATATCCTGTAACAACGGCTTATCATTACCGTTGTTGTTCTATTATTATGTGCAGTATTTTGAGTTATGCTTTAGACGGCGGTAAGTACATCGAGGTCGTCTCATTGGTTACGTATGACCTTTTTAATGTCCATTTTTTTAAACCGACGTGTTTTGTATTTTTATCTTTGTTTTTTATTATTATAGGTTTTTAGGTCTTCCATTTCATGACATATGATAAAAAACGACATATGATACTATTATGACGTCTGTTTTTGCAATTCTATTAACAGGACCATCATATTTTGGTACTTGAACAAGATTTTTTTGTACTGAAAGCTTTGAGCCCAAACCCTGTATAATGAAAGTGAAAAAAATGCAATACAATTTCTTACAAAATTATGTCATACATAGTCATTTAGGGCGTAAGTAATGTCATAAATTACAAGCATCATTCAATCCATATATCTTCACACCCATCTCGAATATTTTGACTCCCAGACTCATTGGCTAGTTCATCAAATGTGTCAATATTTGATATCCCTCTAGTAAATGGCTCACACTCAATTCTCACATCACCTAAGACATCATCACCAATAACATCATTATATTCTTTATTAGGCATTGATAACACTACTGACCAACCATGATGCATTGGGTCGTCAACAAAAAATACTTGTTTGACTTGAGAAGTCATAACAAATTGGTCATTCCTATGTCTAATTATACTCAGATCTACAAGGGTAAATCCAAGTTCGTCGACTATAAGGCCAGAAGTGCTATCTATCCAATCACACCTAAAGATTGTGATTGTAAACTTTTGGTAATCAAGGTCCCAAATATCTTGAATGTCACCATAAAAACCCATATTTGAGACAATTGGGTTCTTATCCTTGGCACTAGCAACTTGCATAGTATGTGCAAGTAAATAAACTCCAATATTTTGAACTGCATGCATATCATCTTGTGCCTTGGTGTTAAATTTAATACATTTGATAAGATGGCTCATATATGATGGCACTGCTATGCTTGGACCAACTGCTAGCCACCTCAAATTTTCTGATACACCATTATTTTCTTCCCCATCAAGTTGACTTTGAACTTGCAAATGAATCATATCTTAATTCAATCTAACATAAAAAGAAGAAAATTAAAAGTGCAATATGTTATTCAATTTCATATACCTTAAAGCGTAGCCATTGAATGAAAGTGGTATTGTGCTTATCTTGCAGCCACTTTGTTCTCTTTCTAAATTTTGGATAAGTGGTCTTGATGTGGATCATATGTTCTCTACATAACACGAAAAATTCAAGCATGACAGCTCATGTATTCTGCAAAACCCAAAACTCTATAAATATTGAGCCAGCTAATATTGTATTGAATCAATAAAGAAAATCAATAAAAGAAATCCAGAACTTTTTTAGTTTTCTTCTTCGTTTCCTCTGTTCATACTTGACTGGTTATCAAACTGCTGCATACATGTCTGTTTCGATCCCAATGAAAAAAGAAAAAAAAATTCAGTTCATGATTAACAAGTTATAATGTAGAGATATAACATCACCAATGTACCTGAACGTTTCCAATGAGATATGAAAATAGTAGTAAGCCAATAGCAGAAATAAGAATTGCAAATCAATTTTCCCAAAAGTAATTGATCGTTTTAAGATCCGTGCCATAATTACTGCAAATCAATTGATGATATCAAGTAATTACTAATAAGAAGCGCAGAAGTTAATGTAATGCTTAGTTACAGTAAGAAAATCTAAGGAAGACAATCTTAACTACAGCTGAAACAGGAAACTTTTTGTTCAAAATATGTATGCAAACTTCATATTTCTGAAGCCCCACCACAAACTGTAGAAGAACTTTGCAGAGAAATTTATTTGGCCTGTGTTACCAGATTTAAGAGCTTCAAGAAGTATTCCAAAGTCAAACTGCCTTGCATTTGCTGGATTTATAGGACATTTTTCATTTAGGAATGTGATATTATTTGTTGAATGACTAGTGTCAATTTCATCGCAATAATGAATAGCTTTGCATCCTTCAGTATTTTTGCAAGCCTGGTGCCAACATATTGTCTCTCGTTGAATAGAAAGAAAGTACCAAATAGTTCCAAGCATCTAAAACACCAAGAAATTAACTAATTATTCAGGAAAATTCCATAAAGATACATCGTTGTTGTAAGAAGAAATCAAGTAACAAAAGTAAATTATCATGAAAATGTGAAAAATAAAGCTCATGTGATGCTTATATAATTTCATCGATGTCTTATTTTGGGTAAGTGTGTTTTATAGCAGGCATTAGTTAACGGATCTCTCAAATAACACGAGTTTAGATATAATTGTTACCAAATAAATTAGATAGCTATATATATTTCCAATTTAAAGAGACTTACGTGACTAGCAAGGATGTACAGGTAAAAGTTGAGAACGCCTTTAATCCAAATTTTCTTCATAGAAGATGCATGCAGATAGATTCGTAAAATCCTGGGCAAATATTGAGAGAGAAGAACGAGATTGATAATCTATCTTTCATAAAAGTATCCACTGTTATGTTTTCCTATTTAGATCGGTGCACTAGATACTAAGTTATATCAGGTTTTGATAAGAGTTTAAATTAAGTTATACCTTGAGACCCAAAAACTTGTGGAATAAGGAAAGGTAGCCTATTAAGGGGTCCTATTAATTTCCTCTTTTGCGTGAACTGATTTGGTGGGCTTGGAAGATTAGTCAAGTCGGCCCTCGGTGATGAGTAGAGACGAGAGACGACTTGACCTAGCCCTATATAAGCTTAAGGCCCCGCTCTCATCAGACACGTTCTCTAACCCTATTCTCATCATAAAGAGAAAGTTGAAACAGATTCTGAGAGAGAGCAGCCTTGAGCCATTACTGTTCTTGCTAGGAAGATGACTCCATGTATATCTTTATGTCTTTACATATTTTAGATTGTGTGAAAGATCTTGAACATGTATAATAAAGAAATCTAACTTCCAGAACCTTTCACTTTGAAAAAGAGAACTGCAACTGCCACCTGCACAAATGATAATATGGGTAAGAAAAAAAATCTAATTGTGTGCATATATAGGACAAAAGGTTTAGTGTTTGTTACCTGTGGGACGGGAAGGATAGCGAGAAATTCAACTATGAAGTCGAAAGATAACCAAGGCATCCTCAAAGCTAATCCCTTGGCAGCCAACCTTGGATAAGACATAAAATATTTCTTGATGGCAGTCCATAGCGAATCCGATTGTACATGAAGCTCAGAATTGGGCACGGTCGCAGTATTTTTATTCATAATAAACTATTTTATATATTGCTTTAATTAATTACTTTTTATGAGTTCTAGGTTACTCAATCATTAATATTCTTTTCCAACTTTCAAGAGTGAGTATCAAGTGAGGCATCAAAGGGATGTGATTCATTTGGTTGTTAGAGCTCGATGATTACTGATTGGTAGAGTAATTCTTCACGCATTTGAGAAGGGTTGCTCTTTTTCTTTTTTTGGGTTACATTGGAGAAGAATCCACCACCACTGTGCTTTCTTTGCTAAACGTAGGTGCCATGGAGGGGAGGGGGAATCCACCACCACTGTGCTTTCTTTGCTAAACGTATTTTTCACATCCAACTATAGGATACAGAAGACAAGACTCATTGGTGACCGAAGTGAGTTAATTAATTAAACGGCTCGGCTTGCCTGAGGCACCACACGTGCAATTAATTTATCAAATTACACAAGAAATGTATGATATCCACATTGTGGTTCTGTATATCTTCGGGCTTTTGCCCTCATTTTTCGGTTTCATACAGAATTTATTTCTCAAAAGAGGAAACCACAAAATGAAAATGAACGTATTAATTAATTCATGAAATGAAGAAAATAGAAATATTCATCCACGATAAAAAATAAACAAACGA